TTATACCCAAACAGCTGATGAAATAATCGAAGGACGCAATTTTTTGCGCTTTACAGCACAATTCTGTGCGTTCACAGCACTCTGTAATGGTTTCTCGTTCAGATAAATTAAAACAGTCGAGAAAACCGATTTGCTTTTACGAACGGTTTACCTGGTCTTTATGTTTTTCCGACAGATAGCTATCAGGGACTTTAATAGGAACTCAAGAAACCCGCCCTTACTGTCTAAAATGGTTACCAAGGTAAAAATAATTCGTACTGGTGATACTAAAAGGTTACAGAGTTGACATGACTTTAAATAAAAAAGGTGACAACTCTGGATTTCAACGATTCAACAAAATTTTCAACACCCTCTGAAATTTCTGAAAGTTGACTTTGTATGGAACAGCTGATTAAAAGTTGACCGAAGTTCAACAATTCAACAGTTTAGGGCAGGTGTGCTCAAAACTGCCTTATGGCAGTGCAGTTACAAACCCCATTAAAGGAAAAGCACACGCACGCGAGTAACAAGTCACACACAGTCATGAAAAAGACAACAACACTTAAACATGCAAATTTGCATTGTGAGTTGAGGAGAAAAAAAAACTTCAATGGAATTTTTTGTTGGCCTGGCTCGCTCTTATCTATTAAGGACAGCGACACAAAGAGGACTCGGGGTGTGCATAGGCAAGCATTGCGAGTGCACTGCCGTATGCTTAGTGCTATTACAAAAACAATTGTGCTCGTGTGCCATAGGAATAAGCACCCCTGGTTTAGGGAATACCCAGTTTATTTAATTTTGCTCATAGACGATGGTACGTCTTCCTCTTCTTGTCGTCAGATTCGTACTGACATTCGCATTATTAATAAAACCAAAGTGGCAACGCTGATAAAGTGTACATAAAAAAAAGTTATTTAAATTGTAGCCGGGAAAATTAAAAATTAAGCGGTTGTTTCTCAACATACCGCCCGGCCCTGAAACTCCGTTTCAGAACTCGGTAACGGAGCAATTTTGGTAATCGGACGTGTTATTTCTTCAGCTGATGTTTTCAATTTAACTGAACGTACCAAGCCATCCGCTCCGGGATATGTGTCTATAATTCGTGCCAAAATCCATGCGGCTGGGGGTGTGTTTGAGTCTTTTACTAAAACTATGTGTCCGCACTCCAGATTTGGGAGTCGTGTGGTCCATTTTGGGCGTTGTTGTTAGGTGGTCAAATACTCCTGGTGCCAACGCTTCCAAAAACCTTAAAGAAGTGACTGAGAATGTTGCCAGTAACTCAATCGATTGGTTGGCACTGTTCCATGGTCTCCTTCCGGTACTAAGGTGTACGGACGACCAATAAGCAAGTGCGCAGGTCCCAATACCATGACCAAAAAGCACTTCGGTGGGAGTGTCATTATGTGGGGATCAGTTGAAGCCTCGGGAGTAGGAAATTTGGTCTTCGTCGAGGGAATTATTGTTTCTTCTCAATATAAGACCATATAACAACACATTTTGAAAACATCTGGGTACAAATTATGCCGCGAAACGAGCTGGACCTTCCAACAGGATAATAACCACCACTAAGCCGGTACATAAGAATTATAGACCAGGATTGGGAAATTTTGAAGCAAACATTTTGAAAGTTCTATGTAAAAAATCGTATGTGGACTTATGTCAGTCAGTGCTGCCATTTTGTCCTCTTTCCGGACAGATCTGTCCTTTTTTTAACGGCTTTATCCGGAAAAAATTTCAAACATCCCCTATCCGGAAATCTATCCTTTTTTCAAAAAAAAGGTTTTGAGTGTTATTTTGGCTAGTCGAAAGTGTATAAACCTGTTTTTATTTGCTAAAATGCCTTTTTAACCATCATTCTTACAGTTCGGCACTTAAAAAATAATTCTTTTTACAAATTATCAAAGAGACGTAAAGCAGTCGATGGTTTTTCTTTATAGTAGGGGAGAGGTCTGTAGGTTGAGACGGTCTGTAAGTTGAGACACTCAATTTTCTCAAAACTTTTCCATTAAAAAAATTTTTTTTTTTTTTTTTTTGTAGTCCTTTTTAGTGACACAACTTTTGGGGAAAACATTATAAGCCAGGCTCTAGCCAGATTTAAGCTGTGAGAGTCGTGTACCATTTTGCACCAAAAAAGTTTTTGTCTACTTTTTCAAAATTCCATTTAAAATTAATAACGTCCTTAAATTAACTTGGTAAGAGATTTAAAACATTAGTATATTAACTGTTAACTAATTAAAAAAAGAATCAGCTTAATGTGACAGTCAGAACAAAAGTTATTAATTTTTTCCCAAAACATCCCATTTTGTGTAAGTTGAGACACCCGTTTTTCATAGAAAAAGGCCTTAGGCCAACAGAGGTCGCTTTCTGCCTAGCACATTTCTTTGATATTAGGGGAAAAGTGAATGTTCAAAGAGCCTTTTGATTTTAATTGTTATTTGGTCGAAGTTCTTAAAAAATGGATGGGGAATAATTTAGGACGAACTAAAATTGATTAAATTAACATAAATAAATAGTTCCTTATAGTTTGGAGTACTTTTTGTGTGAGTATTATTGACTTTAAAAAGTGGCTCAACCTACAGACCTCTTTTTCAAAGTGTCATTTTTGGGCACTTTTCAAAAAAAATTATTTTTCAGTTTTCCCAAGGGGAAAAATTTTTTTGTTGCTTTATTTTACAGCTAAAAGACTAAGCTTTCGATCGGTACCTAACACGTGAAGTTTCAAAAGCGAATGTCCAAATGGGAGACTAAAAACAAAAGGTGGCTCAACCTACAGACCTCTCCCCTACGATTTTCACAAAAATTTACCATGGTAAAATGATCAAACAAAGAAGGTTGTGAGTCGGGCGCAGTAGATCATTACATAATTAAATTTTATTTAAAATCCATTTATATTAAGTAAATATATAACCCATTGGTAAAAACAGAAAAATGTAGGCACATTTACTTTTGTCCTTTTTTTTGTCCTTTTCTTAAATTTTTTGTCCTTTTTTTCCCTGTTTTTTGTGGCTTATCTGTCCTGTTTTTCAAGCTGAGTGATGGCAGCACTGATGTCAGTGCCATTTTTAAGTTTTCTGTTTATAACTTTTTAAGTTTTTATTGTATAAAACAAGATGTAAAAGCAAAAGGAGTGGGAAAACTCCCAAAAAGGGGGTCGTATGTAGACTTTTGTCAGCCACTGTATATACAGTGGTTCACAGCTTGTTTCAACCAGTCTACACCGAAAACTTTAACAGCTCTGGATGAGCTGAATCTGCGAAAAAATATGCACTTCCCATGGGTCATTTCTTTAGTTAAATCAACAATTAATTTTTATTTCAAAATCCTTTCAGTTTTTAATTCATTTATCCTTTAAAATGGAAGGACCTGTTTGACACTTATAGGCCCAAAACAATAAGCGTTCGCTGCTAGGCTTAGAGCTCATTTGGACACAGATTCACAGATTTGGACACAGATTCGCAGATTCAGCTCATACAGAACTGGCGAGAGCTATTGATTATGAATTAAAGGTGTCTTAACATTACCACAAAACAAAATTGGAAGTCCACTTAACGAACAAATTTTAGAAAACACAATATTTTTAGACGAAACTATGACAAAAGTCCTTCCCAAGGGTCGAGAGTAGTTTTTACTTGGCAACAACAACAAAAGGCATTGTATCCATATAAAGTTAACTTTAAATTGTTGGTAAACAAAAGGGTAGTCATGCTAAATTAAAAAAAAAAGGTATTGGCCACTATGTTAATTTATTCGATTTTTTTGTTTGCGCTAGTACTCAGTACTAGTACTTAGTACTAGTTGGGTACTAAGCCTTAACTGGTTAAAATAAGCTGTGGCCTTTTTTTTTTACTTTTTTTGTAATTAATTCATAAAAAATATTTGAAAATATTTAAAAAATCATAACATTATTATACACTAATGTGTATCATCATAGATGTATTCTGCGTTTAAATTATTTTAATAACATGTTTTGTTTAGTTTTTATCAGGGACCGTAACTGTTATAAGTTTTATTTTAAAAATCACGCTTTAACAGTTATTTTCTGATTTGTAAAGTACAACTCAAAGAAAACCTGCTATTTTTTGAGTTTTATAATAAAAGTTGACAAATAACAGTTATTCGTCGTGATCAAAAATAAAACTCAAACTTGATTTATGGCGATTTTGTGGGTAAAATAAATTTAAAAAAAAAATAGTTATAATATATGCGCGGTTGCCTTTTTTAACAAATTTTTAGTAAATTATATAAAAACACTGTAAGCATGTTTTTTTTTAATTATTTCATTTTTTCAAACATGTCAAGGGAATAACTGTTAGACATAAAAATCAACAAATAACAGTTATTTTTTGAGTTTTATTATAAAAATCAAAAAATAAAAATCATTACGGATTTGTAAACCAAAATGGCTAAAAAAATAGTGGTGTATTTAAAAAATTTGTTGACCTTTCCAAGTGCGTGATTTTTTTGTATGAAAAATTTACAATAACAGTTATTTTCGGTCCCTGGTTTTTATGGGCTGTTAAAGTTTTTGGTATAGACTGGTTGAAATAAGCTGTGAACCACTGTATACTTTATGGGGTCGGAAATGTCTCCTTCACTGCGTTGCAAACTTCTGACTGAAATCATAATACCCTCTGCAAGGGTATAAAAATATTTAAATCAAAGACCGAATATTTTGATTAAAAAGAATTTTCTAGGGTTACAATTTAAAGGAGATTAATAACCAGAGGCACTGATTTAATCATGGTAATTTTAATTCATTTTTTAAAAAAACGTTCCTGAAAACACGATTACAGTTTACACAGTTTTCCTATGTGTACTGAGTTGTTCCCTGAAGCCACCAGTATCAATACAAACAAAAAGTGCCATAGCGTATATAAATTTCTCTTCAGCAAGAACTTCTGAGTTTAGGGGAGCGTGACTTTGAGACTTATTTTATTATCGATGCGTTTTTTTAGTCTCTCTGACTTTGAGAGAGTCACCACTCTTACTCTCATTTGTCGTTTCAACGATCGTTTCAAATGGTCGGACGAATCGACGCATTCGCGGGTTGTCCGTCGGCGGAACCACTTCTCGCATTGTTTAACGCACTATGAGTATTTAAAAAAATTAACTAAAAAAGGGAGTGATCTTTAAAATAACTCTACTAAATTGGAACGACCACCAATTATCAGATGAAGCAGCGGTATGCAGGCGCCAGCGGCGCAGTGCTGGTCGGATTACTTTGCGGATTTCTTGTATTCGGCGTCCACGGTGATAAGGTGGAAGTAATAGAGCTGGGCAATTGGACGATAACTAATCAGAATGGATGTGAGTACAATTAATACTCGCAAAGAACCCTTTCGCTGCATAAGTGCCGGAAAGTAGTTTGCTTTATCTATAATCATAAACCGGGGGGCGTAATTTTTATGACTTTAAGACTAATATGTATAAGTGTAATTAGGCTATGTAAAATGAAAAATGTACCTAAAATCGTATTAGCTTCGAATTCGAACTGCGTTTACCAAAAAGATTCCCGATAAGAAGAATTACCTTACAGTTCAAAAAATTCTGTAATTTGCAAACAAATTCTTGGTTCGTTTAGCTGTCAACGCATTTTAAAAGTGAAACTTTTTAATAAAAAAAAGTTTTTATCTTTCAAATCCCAAACTTATAATAATAAATATACGTTAAGGTCATTTGACCTAAAATATTACCCAAGGAATTTTGTGACTAAATTTTACGTAATAAAATGGCTTAAAACGGGATTTTTAGGCAATCTAAGTGTCGGGTAACGTTTGTCTAAAATTCTAGGCAATGTATATATGGCCACTTTCATATTGTCGCTCGGAAAATTTTAAAACCTTTAGAGTTGGAAAAAAATGGTTTTAATTTTAATTATGGGCTTTTCTTTTCACTCTTCCCAAGCTCTATTTTTTGTAAAAATCTTGATTTTGTACCACTTTTAGTTTTTAAGATATCGTCAAAAAACTGCCTTATTCGCTCGGGACAAAAGCAGAAGTGGATTTTGAGAAAGTTCCTTCAAAACCAGATCTTAGCGGACTCTAATCGAATATTTGAATGCGATTTATTTTAGAGTGTTGTCCAATCATGTCGCTGTGAAATGGTTTTACTCAAAAATTGTTTGCAGTTTTTATACCCTTGCAGATGGTATTATGATTTCAGTCAGAAGTGTGCAACTCAGTGAAGGAGACGTTTCCGACCCCATAAAGTATATATATTCTTGATCAGCATAAGATATAGTTGTCCGATCCGGTCGGTTCCGACTTATATACTACCTGCAATAGAAAGAAGACTCTTGGGAAAGTTTCAAGCGGATAGCTTCAAAACTGAGAGACTAGTTTTCGTAGAAAGAGACGGACAGACGGACATGGCTAGATCGACTCGACAAGTGATGCTGATCAAGATAAACTTTATGGGTTCGGAAATGTCTCCTTCACTGCGTTGCAAACTTCTGACTGAAATCATAATACCCTCTGCAAGGGTATAATATTGATCTGCAAGGGTATATAAGCTTCGGCTGGCCGAAGCTAGCTTCCTTTCTTTTTTTTTATGCAGTTTTAAACACATTCGCTCGGGACATGTCGCTATAGACATTTTTTCTTAGCGTTTTCTAAAGCGTATTTCTTTACCTCTATACCTCAATTGCTAGCTGTTTCACTTTTAACTTAATAATTTAACATGTAAATGAAGCATTCAGTACAGAAAAATGTCACATATTAGCGTTCATATAGAATAAATAAACAACAGAAGACAAGTCAAAAACAAGAAAGGAAGCTAGATTCGGCCAGCCGAAGCTTATATACCCTTGCAGATCATTCCTATTAACTTTCAAATCGCAAACATTTTAAATTTTATAATAATACTAGCAGGGTTTGTAGCCCGCAGCTTCGCCTGCGGAAATTAAAATTGAAAATGAAGCATTGCTTTATATTTGCTACTTAATTTAAATTTACAAATTCCTTATTTTTAGCCCATAGCCGAGAAAAGATTTTATCATAACTTTTTTCTTATTTTCCGCAAAAACAACAGTATATTGTCCTATGCAGTCTACTTAAAAAATATATAAAAAAAAATTTGCCAAAAAATTTCTAAAATTCTTATTGCTTGCGTAAGTTATCAGCTGCACAGAACAGAAACAAATTAATTTTTCAAAACAAATCCTTACACTAATTTTCTTCACAATATTAGTACTTTGTCCAAAACATATTGTCTAAATATAGAGTGTCATACTGGATTGAGCATGTAACTAAATTTTAAATCGATAAGCGTGTAAATCTAGAAAATAAGCTTGTTTTCATAAAAAATTCCACCAAAACATTGCTTAAACATACCTCTTTCTCTAAAGGATAGCTCTCCAAAAACCAATATGATTATATTGGCTAAGATTTATGAAGTTAGAGGAAATATTTTTGTTTAGGTAACGAAAAGGTAAATAAAAAGCAAATACACTTTGCGATTTAGCTAATATGGGGGTTTCTAGAAGGTATCCACTGTAGACAACTCTTATAAGGGAAACCAATATTTATGCGAAGCAATGTTTTGCTTTATATATTCGACTAATTAAAAAAAAAAACATCAAGAAAGGCAATTCCATATTACTGCATTTTACCATTGATATTTTTAGGTTTGCATTTCGAAATTCATTTGATATTTACATGTTCGGGTTTGGGTTTGGGTCAACTAGGGTCTATAATCTCATACATAATTAAGAAATCTTTCAAGTTGAACAATTAAACAATTTTCTCACTTTCTCACGTGATTCTCGAAGTTTTTGTGTGTACAATTTTGCTTCCACTCTGGATAAATCTAGGCAACTAAATTACAATGAAATTATGCTAGGCAAAAATATATGTGGTGGTTACGGGTAAGTCTGCTGGGGCAACTGCCATATTTACAGGAGAGAAAGGTGGATCGATTCCAGGCTCCGACAATTGCAGTATTGAATGAAAGGTGAAATAAAAGAGTTAAACTTAAACTAACACGAATTCCAGGGTATACTTTTCACTATACGATAATTTATGTTTAAAACAGTGGTGGTGGTTGTGTGATTTGGCAACTTAACTTTACGCTCATCTTTAACTTAGGCTCCACAAATTAGCATAGATAATCTTGCACTTTGCTCCACACAAAAAAAAAAACTATGTAAAATTAACATAGAAAAATAGTATTTCACTATTTTCTGAATTTTTCATGTATTTTGTTGTTTTATTTTTTGGATCATTAAATAGTAACACCACAATTAATATCGTAACACTACTATTTTTATACCCTTGCAGAGGGTATTATGATTTCAGTCAGAAGTTTGCAACGCAGTGAAGGAGACGTTTCCGACCCCATAAAGTATATATATTCGTGATCAGCATCACTAGGCGAGTCGATCTAGCCATGTCCGTCTGTCCGTCTGTCCGTCTGTCCGTCCGTCTGTCCGTCTGTCCGTCTGTCCGTCCGTTTCTACGCAAACTAGTCTCTCAGTTTTCAAGCTATCGGGATAAAACTTTCCCAAAAGTCTTCTTTCTATTGCAGGTAGTATATAAGTCGGAATATATTCGTGATCAGCACCACTAGACGAGTCGATCTAGCCATGTCCGTCTGTCCGTCTGTCCGTCTGTCCGTCCGTCTGTCCGTCTGTCCGTCTGTCCGTCCGTTTCTACGCAAACTAGTCTCTCAGTTTTCAAGCTATCGGGATAAAACTTTCCCAAAAGTCTTCTTTCTATTGCAGGTAGTATATAAGTCGGAACGAGCCGGATCGGACAACTATTTCATATAGCTCTCATAGGAACAATCGGGAAAAAAAATGTAAAAAAATTATATCTTGGGTGTTTTTAAACCAATAACATCCTACTTTTGGAAATGTCATTTTTTATCTAATTCTGAATTTCGAATAAATTTTTTTCAAAATCGGACGACTATATCATATAGCTGCCATAGGAACGATCGGAAAATTAATGGGAATATAATAGGAAATAAATTATTGCTTCGTTGGTTTTTATTGTATTCTCTTCTACTCTAGGATATAACTCTTTTCAAATATTTTCGAATTTCGATTATAATTTTATCAAAATCGAACTACTATATCATATAGCTGCCATTGAAACGAACGCAAAATTAATGAGAAATAATAGGAAAATTAACATTTTTGCGATTTGTAAATTAATAGGAACTATCTGCAAGGGTATATAAGCTTCGGCTGGCCGAAGCTAGCTTCCTTTCTTGTTTTCCTTCATATATTTTGTTGTTTTAAAAATACCATTATAAATTGTATGTCTGGGTCGTGAGTTCAAATCCCGCTTTTGCAGATGATATTTTTCTTTTTTTTTTTTTTGTTAAATGTTGATTTCAAGTCTATAGATTTTCCTTTACAAAAAGCATTCTTCTGTGGCCTAGTGGTTAGAGTGCTTGACTCGATTCTTGATTCCCAGCGGAGGCAAAAAACCTGATTTGTAAGTTTAAGTATCTGTGAAATGTAAGTGTCTATAAATAACTTCCATATAAATTAATATAACAAATTAAATTAAAAGTAAAAAAAATTAAAAACATAATTGAAAAACAACAGTTTTTTTCGGGTTAAATACTATTTTGTATGTCATCTACTATTTTATAGGTAATCTACTATTTTTTGGGGCATTTTCTATTTTTTATGGGTTGGGGCAGTTTTCACTATTAAATAGTTGATTTTACATAGTTTTTTTTTTTTGTGTGTCCAAGGCTGCGGGTTGCGATTATTAAAAGTAAAGTATAAAAGTTAAAAACTACTAACTAAATCTAATTCGAACCGGGTCTGCTGTGTGCGTTCTCTCACTCGAATATCTCGAAATGGGGAATCCTTTAAGGTAACTTAATTCTCGATTGGTAAAACAATCTAAAGTGTAGCTGCTCCTGTGGCCAGTGGCTGTTCCAATTGCTTCTTTTGCTGCTGCTGCTGCTGCTGCTGCGGAGATGCCGAGACGATAGCTGCCTTCAAGGTGGTGGTGGCCGTCTCGGGGATATGTTGCTGGTGCTCTCGATCTCAATGGGTAGCTCCAGATCCATGTCCACATACTCGATCGCACTTTCGTACTCCGGATGCAGTTCAATGATGCTATTGTTCAGGTCCATGGTAGCTTCCTCCTCGTTCCGCTCCTCCATCTCCTCCTCGATGTCCTCATCCTCCTCGATTATTACATCGTCTATCGTTTGTTTCGATTGCGTCGTCGCCGACTTGGTGGCCGCCTGATCCAGCTCCATTTCCCAATCCGTGGCATTGAACACCACGAGCGGCGAGTTCTTGACCGAAGTATGATTGAGTTCCGTGGCGCTGCCATTGTCGG